TAAAAGGATCGGCTCGGAATCGGCAAGACATGAGACTCTTCGAGACTTCCGATCACTGGCCGGTCAATCGGTGCATCTCTACTGAAGACTGGTGTAATGGCAGCTGAAAATTCACCCTTGCCATTACATAATAAATTTTATTTTTATTCAAATAGAAAATCGTTATTTTAAACGTAATCATATTTCAAAATATTACTGTTTTACAGTATTTTTGATTACATAAATGCTGCCTTGGTGAGCATAAAATAAATTAAACACACACAAAATAAAATATTAACAACTCTTTTGAATGGTAGTGCATATAACACGTTAAGTTCTTTTTACACATTTTTACACAATTACTAAAAATACTATAAACGAAAAGTATTATATTTAATTATTATATGGATAAAAAAAATAGGGCTGTCAATGTTAACGCGTGCAATTAATTTTGCAATAATTAAAATATAATGCAATAAATAATAATGCAAATAATCCTTAACATGGTAAAATAATTTTATGAAATTAACACAAAATTACTAAAGCACAATTTATATTCTAATCCTTTAACCCAATTTTTGCTTTCTCTGTTTGCGATCAGATCATTTTAAGCCTCTAAACTGAAAGTTTTCAGTCCAATGATCTAGTAAGCAAATGCATTCAGACAATCGGTCCAAAACAGCGCTAATGTAAAGAAAACCAGGCTGATTACCTCAGAGATGGCAGAGAGAATAGAGACTCACGTTGCAATTTCAGTGAATTATTCCAGTGTGTTTCACTTTAAAACAAGAGCTCTGTCATATTCTGTGATTGTCTCTGAAGACCAAGAGCCCAGACTCAACGTAATGTCAAAACATCCCACCGCTGTATGGCCAGATGAGACACAAACTACTTTTCTCGGCTGGATAACCAGCATCTCGCTAGTAAAGTTTTGATGGACGAGGATTGTAATCAAGGTAAAGACGACTGCAGTGATATACAGGAGTATATCACTGAGATATACAGTGATATACAGGAGTCATACAGTAAGTATGTGCACACATGTATCAATTATATAGACTCCTTATATCATTTGGCTCTTTGGTGTACTTTTGGAGTCTCCAAGTGTCCTTTTTTGTCCTAAATTTATCTTGAAAAAAACTTGCAGAAAATATAGATTTGTGAAAATCACTTTTCAATCTTTTGGTTTACTTTGCTGGATATAGCAAATGACCAAACTAACGTGTTAAAGAAGATAAATGGTGTTTGCATAATTTCATGAAGTGTGCAAATAATCGCAATGAATAACAGAAAAAGGGGTGTCATTAATCTGATTAAAAATGTTAATCTATTGACAGCCCTAATATAAATTAAATAATTTAATTAAGATATAAATTATTATTATTTATATTTAAACCCACTGAGTCCCACTGTATGCTATATCCTACAATATATCCATCAGGCCATCAGATTTCATCAGTCTGACAGGCCAGACTCACTGAAGGAACGTGGCGGTGAGGTAATTCAATAGATTAGCTAGTGTTTAATTCAGAATTTAGATTTTTTTTTTTTAATTAATCCATAATTAATTAGTCTAAAAGTGAGGTAACAATTTGAGATTATGAAATATATATCTTGTGGCGGTGAGGTAATATGATTCGAGAGCATGCTGGCATTAACACCTCTCGCTCTACTCTGAAAACAGATACTGTCTCCTTGAAAGAAAGCCCATCTGATTCAGAGCCAAAAACCTCTATCATCTGTTAAAGCATAATTTATTTGTGCAGTAACTCCACACCTGCACTAAACAAACACAACTGCCATAAATAACCCATTAACATCATCATCAACTGCCCTGAATTATTTTATGGAACAAATGATCTTTGACTTCAACATATGCATAAAGAGCAGGGAAGGTTAGCTATCTCTGTGACGGTGCTGATACAGGTTACCTTCGGCCACCTCTGAAGCTGAATTATATCACAGCATGCAGTGAAGACTTATCTTTAAACAACACAGAGCAGTCAGCTTGTGATCTGAGAAAATGATAATATTGTCAGTTGTGTTCCTAATAATGGAACGAAGACATGGATAACAGCCAGGCCCTGCTAGGACTTTTTGGTGACTAGGTGACATATAAAAAGGAACATCTACAAGACAAAGAAAAACAAGCCAAAACGTTGAGAGTGAAACACTTACAGTTGAAGTCTATGGGTCAACTGTCACACTCTCACAGACTTTCACGTTATTTATATTTGTCAACATTTTATTTGTTTGCTTTTTTAATAATACTGTAGGGTTCCCACATGTTCTGACCAAAGATTTTTATGACTATTCCAAGCATTATTAGTAAAAGCATTATTATATGACTTTTTTCTATGCAAAGAAAAACTTTAGGTTGAGCATAACTAGAAAACATTTGAGTGAAATTTCCATGACCTATGTAGATTTTATTAATTTCCATGGCTTTTGCAGATATAAAAATCAGACAGATTTTGAAATTGCTTGATACCTCCAGGTTTTCCAGGAATGTGGGAACCTTGAAACCAAGGAAATTATATATATATATATATATATATATATATATATCTAAAAGTGAGGTAACAATTTGAGATTATGAAATATATATCTAAACATTTGAGTTAAGTTGAGTAAGTCACTCTGTGTGAACGTTTGCATCTAAGAACATAAGAATAGATCAACATAGAAAAACTCAAGCTTTATTTTCTCTCTTTCACTAGCACATCAAACTGTCAAGTGTCCTTTGTATATGCAAAAAGGAGGTTGATAAAATAAGCCAGCACACTTAACACTCAATTTTATAAGCACAAACACTTTTAACATGCCTAGTAAACACAGGGCAGAGTGTCTAGAATCCGAGGCCATTTTCATGAATGACACACGCTCTTCAATTCATTAATAATGCAAAAATGATCAACTTTTAAACGGTAGATACGTGTCTGACTGGTGAAATATATTCCCTTATACTTCCCCAAGGCAATTCAGCCATAAAATAAAACGATAACGCCCTTCCCATGTCAGTTTTGATCCATAGTATCCCAGTAATCACTCCAGAGAGAATATGAAGAGTCAGTGATATCAGATTTCTGAACGTTCCCGAAGGGAACAATGCGACATTTGTGTCCTAATGGCTGTAATGAAGGTAGATGAACAATGGCAGTGCGTGTATCGATTAAAGAAACTTCCACGCAGTTTCAACAGGCTGTTTGAAGAGCTGGATGAATCCTTAGTTTTGCCATTTTCAGCCTTTATCTTCCCATTCATAGTAACTTAATCCAAAGCAGCAGGGTAACTGACTCAAGACCTGGTGAGCTGCCACTTTTTGGTCAATAAACGCGCCTATGGTGCCTAAAAATGCTGCCTATGTAGGCAGCTCATTAGGTTTTGAGAGACAGCCGTGGTATGAGCTTGGTATGCCCTCAAAACTCCAAAAATAGGGAAACACAAAACTTAAAAATCCTATAAATCGTCTCTTTGATGTTTATAGAGCTTTATTGCAAAGAAATGAGTTTGTTTTAGTGTTTTGCTAAATATATTTGCATAGCTAACACAGCTAACGTTAGCTGGACACTTCCCGAAGTGCAGCGCTGCTTTCTTTCCCAGGCAACCTGTTGCAAACACCACTTACGCCGCGTTTTAACGGCCAAACAACTTTAAAGAGTCACTTAGCTTACCTCTTCAGTTAGATACGCCGTCCCTTTAGTCCAATTAGTGTATGAATACTCCCAAACAAGCGGTTTTGTTCACAGAATAGCGCATTAGACTGTTGTCATGTAGTGTGAAGGGTCGCCGCGGCTCCAGAGTCTCGTGTGTGTGTGTATGTGAGAGAGAGAGAGAGAGAGAGACGACTGTCTGACGGAGAGCGGCTCAACAGCGCCTCCGGCAACCGCATGAGACGACGCTTCTGATTGGACAGATCTACCACGCTTAGACTCCATCGTCCAATCAGATGTGATTTTCCTTGAGAATGTCGAGCGGGCGACAAACCGGTTAGTTTCGGCTTGAGATTTTTGAGGCTTGTTCAGTTTTTAGATGTTAGACACTTTCAATATTGTAGAGCTAAAACTTTTTTTAAAAATCAACCAATTTGACTAACTCCTTTCCGCATGTTATATATAAGGGAAGAATGCAGATTATATATATATATATATATATATATATATATAT